GATCACCTCTGTAACCCATTGCCGTTGTTCAGGAGTGTATTTAAGGGTAAGGGGTCTATAAGGGGTATGAAAATTTTCATACCATACCCGAGTCTAATTTAGTAATTGACCTGTGATAGGTTTCCATCTCACCCTAAACAAACCTGCAACCATGTACTGTTGCTTTAATATTTTAGTGGTATTTTAGGAATTTTTCGCATCCTGATCCCTCATAGGGGACCCCTTATCGGAACGCCACACCCCAAGCCACGCAGGACCTCAAGACCTTTCTAATCACTCCAAGAACTTCCCCCAACTCCTTTGTGTTGCTGAGAAAAAAGTGAACTGATATAGGTCTCTGGTTATGGGTTATGGTTTTAAGGTATCAAAGTTGTAATACACAGCCCTGCGGCGGTCCCCTTGTTTGCGATTCAGTTGGATGGGGATTGATGTGTGTTTTTTTTTCGCGGCGGGGGCGCCTAGCCTGGGCCTGATGGTCACCAATATCCATGGGATCTTCCATACTTATCATTAACCGTAACCAACTTTCCCTGGCTTGGCCAGGAAAGTTGTTTCATACCCCTTGTATAAATGTGTATCGAGTGTTATTATTCTGTTGTAGCATTGTTAAAAGCTCTTATAACTAGAGCCTAGAATTTTTACAGCAAATGGACCGCCTTTCAATTATATTTATTTTTGAAAACCTTACAACAAATGGGTATCCATTACAAAATGTTGACAAGATAACCAAAACAAGAAATTCACTAGTTAACAAACTCTACTGCAAGATCATAAATATGTTACACTATCTTATATGGCTGATTCAAACTACGAGATTAGGACACAATTGAAAATCCTCTTGCAAAATAATTCCCACCCTATTAAGTTTACTTTTGTTTTCAGTAACACCAATGCGATTGCTAAGTTCTTGAAACAACCTCTGACTTGTGTTCTAACGTGGTATATTTATTTACATATCCTAGCTGCCAACCTTACCGCATCTCCTATTAATCTATACGGACGTGTCAACCTCACAATGGCTTACACATCTCCGAACACAGAAAGTCCTTCAATTTTCATGGCAATAAGAGAGTATTCACAAAAACACACTTTTCTAACACAGATTTTCGTATTTTGTCCTCCCACTCCTTCCGCCAAGACCTCATCACCTCAGAATCCCTGCTGATAAAAAATGAAACCTGAACTAAAAGAAAAAAAAAAAAACTACAGCAACACCTTTGTTTACGCACTGACTGCCCATCATCATAAACACCCATTTTAAAATTAATTTGACATTCTTCTAATACGTTCCACTCTTCTGATTTATATTTTGTATAAATGTGTATCGAGTGTTTATATTCTGTTTGTATCATTGTATTTTGCATTATTTAGTTACACGTTTCTGTGAAACCAGAACCAAATGTGTATAATTACATTGACTAATGGTCCTATTGTCTGGTTTTGTAATACAGCACAAATAATGAAACTTTCGAAACATTTGCTTAATGAATATTGATCTACCTCTTCTTACTTACGATTCGACTCCTTGCTGGCAAACCCATTACGGAATATATATATGTATATATATCTATATATATGTGTGTGTAGTGTGTGTGTGTGTGTGTGTGTGTGTGTGTGTGTGTGTGTGTGTATGTGTGTGTATGTGTGTGTGTGTGTGTGTGTGTGTGTGTGTGTGTGTGTGTTTGTATATCCATACACCAAGTTTATGGATATGTATACATATGCATATAAAAGATCGGATGGAATTATATACAAAGATGGAGAAAAGGAGGAAAAGGCGTTTTACAAATGAAAGTACAACACATGGGATGGAACGAGACACGCAGAAGGTAGTCCGTGAATGAAACAAAGAACACTCCCATAATGACTTTAATAATTATGATACAAAAATAATTTGCACAATATGTCCACAATTTGCACTCGGTAATTTTTTTTGCATCTGCTGATCCTTCAACAGAATTCTAACAATCTTTGAACTTCATTCTCTTAAAATACAATATTTAGTCATTTCATATTCCATCAGTCCTGCCTTATAAAATATCCAAAATGAAGTAATACACACCATAGCTTCAGTTCCTTTCTGTTATGGATTACTTCAGTTATCCCAAGAAGCAATATATATTCTGAAAAAAAGATCCCTTTTTATAGTGGACATTACTGTAGTTTAAAGAGAAGTGAAGGGTGGGGGGGAGGGGAGGGTAAATGTGGATATGTGTACAGGGATGAAGGGTGAGGGTGACTATGTATACATTATTACAGTTTTATTTACTGTACTTACAAAGTTTACAGCTTTGTCTCAAGCCTAACCTCTCCGATGTTTGTATAGATATATATATACACATTTACATTAACAAATTCTGTATACTAAAACATATATGTATATAGCCATTACAAAAGGGAAAAGTAGTCATTTGTGTGGTTGTGTGTGTGTGTGTGTAAATATATGGATATGAATATGTATATATGCATTTATATACATGTATGTATGTATATATATATTGTATATAATATATATATATATATTATATATATATATATATATATATATATATATATATAATATATATATATTAATATATATATATATATATATATATATATATATATATATATATATATATATATATATATATATATATATATATATATATATATACAGATATATATAATTATATATTATATATATACATATTGTACCGTACATACGCATGTAGGATATCATTCTGTCACACAAATGGTGATTTTTCTTTAGAATGAGCAGAAAAAAATCTTTCCACATTAAATGTTTTGATATTGCTACTGCAGAGTGAGAGGCGGCAGAGACTGTGCGTTTGCGTCAGGCGCGCCCGAGGCAGCATCCCGCTCAGGACGGACGGCCTCGAGACGCTCCCGACGTTGTGATTACATACGGCTGCCACTGCAGCGACCCTGGCGGTAGCGAGGCCTACGCCCAGGGTGCTCAAAGATGCAGGCGCCCGAATTCTCAGACAACACTTCAAGGCGTCTCAAATCTAAGGCATTGAAAACACCATCTCATATTGGTCCAGAAGCTTTAAAGTGCAGCATGTGAATTCGGCTACAAGATATCTTACCTAGTTTGGCCTTCAGTATGTGTGGCACCATAGGTAAAACTGATCCTAAAAGGATTAGAAAAAGAATCCAATACTGTCCAGGAAAATCTCATCCAATGTGAGAACATGGCATTCCGTCACCAAGAGAGAATATCTCAGGAAATGCAAATGATTAATTCATAAACAATACTCACACATATTATACAAATTAAACATTTCATTTCTACAGATTTCGTTTTCGATCGACCGGCCGCTTCGGGGCACAGCAGCTGACACGAAGGCTTCCGCTGTCCTTCCTAGGTGAAGATGCTCGGGGACTGCGGGGGGCGGAGGGACTGGGGGTAGGATGGGGGTGGAGGGGCGTCGGAGGCTAGCTTCGGGAAGAGAGTCGGCGGAGAAAGGTGGTCCTTGGAGATCTTCCGGCGCCGAGCTGTGCCTTTGTACCGCTTCGGGAGTTTAGGGAAAGGAGACGATAAGGAAGTGGCTGCGGGAAGCCGAGGGAGGAAAGCAGAATTGGTATAAGGTGAGGAGGAGCGAGACCGATATCTTGGTTTCACTTTTGGTTTGGGTTTAACAGGTTTAACGCGGTGTTTCTTAGTAGACTTCGTGTTGAGGTTTGGCTCCGTTTTAGCCCTTAAGAGTTTGGACAAAGAATGTGTTTTTGAGGTTTCCTTCTGGTGGTCTGCATAGTCTGAGCCAGGGATCGAATGTCTCTGTGTCATTCGTGGATGTCGGGTATCATGAGGAATGTCTGCATCGTCAGCGTGCGAGTCAGGGTCATCGCAAGGCTCTCTTCTAGCTGTCGGTGGCACAGAGCTCTCATAATAGTCCATCTGAATGTCCTCACTCATGTACTTGGGAACACCTTCCTCGTCTGCATGTTGTACCGAGCATGTTAATTCTGTACCTTCGCTAGATCGTCGATCTAGGAACAGTGCATCTGTTTGTACACTTATAAGATCTGATTGGAGATCTGGTTCTGGTGACACCCTCTGATCATCCGCACAGTGTATGTTCTCAGAGGAGCCGTTCTCCTGTGACTCAAGTTCTTGGGGCTCCGAGGCGGGCGATTCAGGGTTTTCATCTGAGAATTCAAGAATCTGAACATGCTCTGTCTGTACATCTAAGAGGGCTGAAGACATATGTTCATTTTGTCCGTCTGCGTGATCTGAGCTCTGGATACTCTCAGTCTGTATGTCTGAAAGAGGTGAGGGCCCTGTCTGAGCAGGGGGGCGAATACCTTGTGTTTGTGTGTCTGAAACGTCAGTGGGCTGAGCGTGTTCTGTATGTACGTCTGACAGATTAGAGGGTTGAGTGCGTGTGTCTGAAAGGTCAGAGGGTTGAGTGTGCTCTGCATGTGTGTCTGGAAGGTCAGAGGGTTGAGTGTGCTCTGCGTGTGTGTCTGGAAGGTCAGAGGGTTGAGTGTGCTCTGCGTGTGTGTCTGGAAGGTCAGAGGGTTGAGTGTGCTCTGCGTGTGTGTCTGGAAGGTCAGAGGAATGAGTGTGCTCTGCGTGTGTGTCTGGAAGGTCAGAGGAATGAGTGCGTTCTGGGTGTGTGTCTGGAAAGTCGGAGGATTGAATATGTTCTGTTTCTTTGTCAATATTCGAATATGGAAGGCCCGGAGGGTTGGGACGATTCATCTGTGCGTCCATAGAATCTTCGTTCGTAGCAGTGGCATCGATATCAGAATGGGAGATTCGACGCGATGGGAGGGATGTGGATGGTGGGGCTTGAGACGAGAGGGGCCGCGGGGGAACAGGATACTCAAAGACATAGGACGGCGATGGTGACGGCAGGTCAGTGGAAAGTTCTTCGGGATGCGGAAAGAGAGGAAGTGCAAGCGACAGCGAAGGCATTTGTTCGGCGTCATCATTGGGGTCTTGGTGGCCTCGGTCATCTGGAGGGGAAACGTGTTCTTCGAAGGAGTGAGCCAAAGTGGAATTGGCCTTGGTGGAAAGGGACAGGGATTCAGGGAAGCCTTGCTGTGCCGCCGAAGCGGCAATTATTTGTCAGCATGACCCATCAGAGTCTGGCTGTTGGGACAACTCTTGGTGCCTTCGCCATAGGTTCTGTTGGAATAAATTATTATTTTAGAAATGCTATTTTTATATTGGAATAAATTATTATTTTAGAAATGCTATTTTTATATGACTTTGCAGTGATGTCAAGAATTCAGTTTTAAAGTTTGGCTACAGAACAGTTAAAATCTGACATATATTGTAATATACTACTGGCCATAGATGGGGATTTAAAAAAGATGCCTCACTAAGAGCTCAGCTCACCTGGCGAAGAGAGGAGAGGCTTTTCAGGATGACCCACTTATCGGGGGAGACGAGTGGCTCCGAGAGGGACCTCGGCTCCCCCGACGACCTCCTGCCAGACTCGTATCCGGAGGAGGTGACGCTGAGGGTGCGTCCGTCCTCATCCTGAACCGACGTGGCGCTCCCCGGGCGCGAAGACACCCCTGCTGGAAACAAGGCGAGGTTAAGGGAGACAGCAGGGTAAGGAACGAGAATGTGGAGTGTCCGTGGAAAGGGAAGATGTACAAAAGGAGGGGACAGGGAAGGAAGGGAAAGGCGTTGGATGCCAAAAGAAAGTTAAGAGAAATGTAGAATGATAAATGTTGTAAAGGGATGACATCTAACGAAATTCAAATCTTGCTATTTGATATCTGAATCCATAAACATATTACTATCTTCATAAAAGACACATCTGTCTACAAAAGTATTATAATGTGTATTCTTAAAACAAATTTGTGAATTCTCCACATCAGTTGAACATTTGTTACCACAGCCAAATTGTATACATAGGCGAAACAACGAACAAATACGTAAGCTGTATAATAAGGAATGAATCTTGCATATATATTGACGCATTATAAACGTGTATGAGCGCTGCAATGCAAGGCATATTTAGTGATCTTATGAAAGCCGGGTGATGGATGCATTCCATCGAGAAATAAAATTAGCTGTAAATGGCAGCTCTTCCGCCTTACTGTTATCTGTATTTGCTGCTGCCAATGCAACAGAAAATGATAAACAACGAAACTACTGGAAAAAAGATTTTCCAACTTACATAACATTCAAAATTGGAAATGTGTATAAAACGAAGATGAAACTAGTCTACAGCAAACTACTGGCAAATACACATGAGCCTGTGCACCGAATGTTTAACAGAACATAAACAGACAAACCTAGATAAACGGCTGAATGATCCAATTATCTACGTAACTACCCTATATTTCTTGGAAATTTCCCATGGCAAAAACATCAGCACACGTAATGTCTGTTTAAGGCGGCACGAATTTGACCACAGTCCATAACTTTTTAAAATAGCAATATGTAAAGAACGTAAGCAAATGAAGTCACAACTGCTGTATTTGCAGAAAGGCAGCAACGCCGTCGCTATGTATTCTCTCCTTAGCACTAATCATTCACATTTCCCATAATTTAATTTCTACCTCTAACTATTTTCATCATCGTTGCTGTCAATTTTCTTTCTATCAAAGAAACTGTCGAGTATATGTTCTATATCTGCGCACTACATCGCTGCAGTGAAAAGGGAATATCTAATACTCTAGTTTTTTTGCACGACTCTGAGTGACTTCAACGATCTTCCTAGAAACTTACCATAACTAACGTCTAACAAGGCGAAACTAACTATAATCAGCAGCTTTAAAGATCCTCCATACATAATTCATGGAAAGAGATAACCATAATGTCCCGTATGGCCTTTAGAGTCTACTACAAAGATCCACGACTACAGTCAAGAGCAGGTGTATCCTTGGAGAGTCCCGTGACACCGATCCTCCTTTAAAGTTGTGCTCTGGCGCTACTCAGTCTTACTCTATTGCCATCTAGTTAATCAAGCATCTAAAATCCTCTACCCGCTGACGTTTGCTTCACGAAGATGACGCGTCGACGCCCTCCGCTCTTCTGCTCTCCTTTACGGTCGGATTTGGAGAAATTTGGGTCAGTCAGGGTCATCCAGATTGGGGATTTTTATGAGCAAGAAGAATGCACATGGAAGTCTGATATAGCCACAATTTTTATCGCTCTCCATCCGATCTGATCGCTTTAGTCCACCACTCTCTCCTGTAGCTTGGAAGAAAAACGTCTGTCAGTCATTCACTCACCGGATGTTGCTACCGAGGCTGGAGAGGTGCTGGAGGAGTGGAGGGGCGGCGACCCCGGAGTCTCCACCGGCGTCAGCTGGCGCTCAGCAGCTGCAAAGGGAGCGATTATTGCAAGTGGACTCACTCTGCCTCTCCAAAACCGTCACATGGAATCACCCAAGCTGTCGACTAGTGGCTTCGGCTCACCTGGTTCCTCGGGCGAAGGGTAACTGAGCCTGGACTCCGCCGACAGCTTCCTGGCCAACGCAGGCACCGGCGGGGAGGTCGAGCGGAACGCCGGCGATGGACGCGGGGAAGATGAGAGACTCTCAGTCTTTGTGGGCGTCATGGGAGGGAGCCGCCTGGGCGTGGGCGGGCGCGACTGGGAGGGCGGCGACGGCACGCTCAGGGACGAGTCAGTTCTCGGTCGTCCTGCAGGCCATAAGGCGATTTTTAGCTATATTTATAAATAAATGAATAAATAAATAAATAAATAATGTATATAATATATATATATATATATATATATATATATATATATAATATATATATATATACATACATACAACATGCATGCATGCACATAACACACACACACACACACATATACATATATATATATATATATATATATATATATATATATATATATATATATATATATATAATATATATATAATATACATATATATATATACATATACATACATATATATACATACATACATACACACACACATATATACAGTTTGACTCTACCTGACTAACAAAGAACTACCGCTCACAAACAGACAGACAAGGCGCCACCTGCGGAGTTCTGTACGTTCCACAACCATGCACTATCGCTGCACTTCTCTCTCTTCTCTCACTCATTTTTTTTTCTCTCTCTCTCTCTATTTCACTCTCAGTCTCACTCTCTCTCTCTCCAACAAAAAGCTGAATGAGAACAAGACATTTTTCAAGGTAGTCACATCCTCATGAGGATCCTCACACACAGTACATACTCATAGTTAAACAGAAACATTATTTAATACTAGGTCATGCTTACACTATTTTATTTACAATATATCTAAAACAATACAGTAGTTTGAGACTCTCCAAAGCACAAGTTCAAGATGGGTTTGTAATAAAATGGAGAGGGTCTTCGTCTACGAGGCTTCAGATCGATGTGGAACCGTAAGAATGAACGGAAAAAAACGTAACAGAGCTTCAACTGTTTTTCTTTTTTTTCTTTTTATAGCCTAGTGATTTTTTCTGTGCTCTGAACTCACGTTAGGTTTAGCATTTACTCATCGTCGTCTCTGGAACATTCTAAACTCAAAACGAGGGAACACAAAACTGGCGATTGCGATTATCCGCTATGACTACTTGCCTACAATGCTAGACTTCCTTCCAGGACTACTTGGGCTTGAGCGCGACAACGTTCTTGGTGACTGCGGCCGCGACGATGGGCGTGAGGGAGAGGGCAGCTCGGGAAGGGTGGGCGTGCCCGCAGAGCCCCCGCTGCTATTGAGTCGCTTGAGAACAGTAGGGATGGGAGGGCTTCTGCTCCGGGGAAGCTCCACACCCGGCGGTTCCTGCCCCGGGGGGTATTCTGGGACGTCGAATGAAGATTCACCTGAGGGCGGAGGAGAGGAATGGATTCTTTGACTCAAGGCGCATCAACATGGTTCTCTCACAGCTCTAAGCAATGAAGTCGGTGCCGAGGCAAATATAGACTGCCTCCTACCTTTGAGCTTGTTCAGGAGGGCGGGCACAGGGGGCGAACTCGATCTAGCAGCCGTGGGAACGAGCGGCGACGAGGGCGTGACCACGTCGTCGTCGTCGTCGGGTTCGTCCGCCGCCTCCCTGCCAAGGTCGGCAGGACTGGCAGCTTCGGGTGGCGGGGACGGCGGTGGCTGAAGGAGCTGAATTGTCAAAAAAGAACATTAAAAATAATAAATAAAAAGGTACAACAGAAAAACGTCTCCCCTTTTGTCGAGAGTAGAGGAAATGAAAGAAAAAAAGGCAAGCAGTTCTAAGGAAGAAGTCGATATGAAGGGTTCTCTATAATCAACGCTTTACTGTGCATTAGAAAACAGACGAATCTGTTCACCAATCATTCTTAGTCTCATTATCCCCATAGGTATCTTTCATATCATTATTACAGACAGGTACCACTTCAACAGAGTTTGCCTCAACAACAACAACAAAACAGCTAATGGAAGGCTCCCTTTCCCCTCTGCGATTGAGAGCCTTTTCGGCAGCGCACCTGTTCAGCCTCGGGCGTGAAGGGTCGGTGTTGGAGGCTCGGCGTGAGGGAGGGCTTGATGTGCGGCCAGTGACTGGAGGTAAATGAAGACCTGCTGAGCCGACCTTTTCCTCGGGGTGAGGGTGACCTTAGAGCGAAAGAAAACTCTCGTTCATTGCTCTGTTCACAGTAGCTTGTTTATAGTATCATCTTGAAATGTTTATAATTTATTAGCAGTAACACTGGCTTGTGAATGTAGACATGTATTTGAGCTGCTGTGTTACTGTAAAAGCGAAATGCTGTAAAGGAATAACTGGAGGTATTAGTAAGACTGGAGATGCGTGTCGGGAGGAAGCCACTCCTCACCTGGAGATGTCCGAGGAGAGGGACTCCTGGCGAGACTTGTCCCACGTTTTCCTCCGGCGACGGTGCGGCTGTGGGTTGTCGCTCTCCTCCGTGGCTGTGTCGCGCTCGCACCGCCCGAGGGATCTGACGAATGTCGCAGAACAAGCAAGGGCGTTAAATGGTGATGCCAGAACGAAGCAGTTCCATTAGTCCACTACTTATCTCTAGCTTTTAAATTCGCTTGTCTTCCCGCCTTTGTATTGACCCAAATGTATACAAATTCATGCGTCGCTCATTACTGCCATAGGTCAAATCGTTCTCCCACCGATCATCTTTTTACGTCAATCATTTTTTGCTTCGTTGCTCTCTCCCCCTCACCTTGTGCTCCTCCTTCTGAACCTCCGGTTGGCGTAGGGGTCCTTCTCAGACTGCTTCCTGTAGGGTCTGTCGCTGTGGTTTTGTCCCCAGGGAGGCCGGGAGTCGCTCACGTGACCCGGGTTGCGAGGCAAGGAGGAAGAAGGTGATTTCTTCCTTCTGCTGCTTCGGCGCCGAGTCTCCCGTCGGGGGCTGGGCGAGGAATTCCAATGTCTAAATCTCGCTCATTATATAAATCATAAGTTCATCATAAAATAGAATTCGATAAGCAAATTTATGAATCACAGACCATGTCTCCGTCGCGGGCAGGGCGAGGAAATCCAGTGTCTAATCTCGCTCAAAATATCAGTTAGAAGTTCGCCTTAAAAAGAATTGATAAGCAAATCTATGAATCAGCTCATTAATCAGTGTCTAATCTCGCTCAAAATATCAGTTAGAAGTTCGCCTTTTAAAACAGAATTTGATAAGCAAATCTATGAATCACAGCTCATTATATCAGTTAGAAGTTCGCCTTTTAAAACAGAATTTGATAAGCAAGTTTATGACGAGAGAATCCCAGTGTCCCACCTGGCATGAGGAGGCTCGTCGCACTGCGTACCGCACTCCCGCAGGCTCCTGTACTTGGTCGGGGTGATGATGCGGTCGGTGATGTAATCTGCCGGGGAGTCGTGAGACGCAATTGACGTCCTCTGGCCTGTACAAAAGTTTTTATGCGATCTATGATCCAGATGGTTATGTCACTAAGTTTACCCATTTGATTCCTCTTATGCTAAAGTTTGAGCTATCGTTTCGCAGCATATAATCATCTATACTTAAGTTACATACAACTAAACACTTTGATAAACTCTATATCTAAGTCTTTCAGAGAGCCATCCCGAAATTATCGTCAAGGTGATCACACACGCGAAGTCGGACCACTCCGTTACGAACACAAATGAACGTGAGAGGGGACACTGAACGCCCAGAGCAAACGACACGTTGAAGTCGTGTCGCTCGTTCCTCCGGACTGCCGTACCTGCAGCGGCCGTGAGGAGTGTCAGGAGTGCCGTACGGTCGAAGAAGCCGGACGACGCGAACAGCACCTCGGGGGTCAGGCCCAGGCTCCGCAGCAGCTTCGTTCGCTCGTCCTCGCCGTCAGGGGCGGCGGGCGTCTGGGGGAGGCTCGGAGTCAGGGCGGGGAGACTTGGTGGAACTTAGTCAAGGCAGAACTATATGTGTGGAGGGAGGAGGTGGAGGGGAGGAGGAGGGGAGGAGGAGAGGAGGAGGAGAGAGGAGGGGAGGAGGAGGAGGGGGAGGAGGAGGAGGAGGAGGAGGAGGAGGGGAGGAGGAGGAGGAGAGGAGGAGGAGGAGGATGGAGGAAGGAGAGGAGGAGGATGGAGGAAAGGAGGGAGGAGGAGAGAAGGAGGAGGAGGAGAAGGAGGAGACGAAGAGGTGGTGGAGGTAGAGAAGAAGTAGAAAGCAAAAGAAAAGGTCAAAAAACAAAAGGAGTTAGAAAGAAGGAGCAAATGGAAGACATAGAGGAAGAGGAAGCGAAAGACAATAAACAGCACTCGAATGTAAATACCGGCAACTAAAACGAAAATACCTTTATGAGCGGAATCTCCAAGCGCGCCGGAGCCTGAGGGGACGCGCTCTGCTCGCCGCGGTCTGACTGCTGCGTCTCGGGGCGTTCCTGCTCTCGATGCCGTTCTGGCTGCTGCTGCTTCTGCTCCTGCTGCTGCTGCTGCTGGTGTGGCTGCTGGGGGCGGCGGTGCTGCTGCTTCGTCTCAGGCCTGGAGTGCGAGTCTTCTTGGTCCAAGTCTTCCTTCTCTTCCCCGACGTCTGGTAGCGGTCCGCCCTGCAATACCAGAGGCAAAGCTCAGCGTCCTGGTTTGCATTTGACAAACACGTATTAAAAAAAGAAAGAAAGAAAAAAAAAAAAAAATGGATGGATGGATAGATAAATAAATAAACATATAACTAAAAAAAATAATAAAAAAAATAAAAAAAAAAACCATACAACTGATTCTTTGGATTGCGAAAGAACACGAAAAACGTCCTCCTCGGATGATATTAGGGGTCTTGTCCTTGACGGAAATCCCTCTCACTGCTCCCAAATGAATTCTACTCTACCTACCGCTTCTACTCTACCTACTTTACAACTACCTACTCTACCGCTTCTGAAATGACGTGCACTACTATCGCATCATCACCAGTTCGATAGACCCTACCAAGCAGAAGAACATTTAAATACAATCTATCTAAGCATGTAAGGGTGGACGGATACAAGGGTGGACGGATACAAGGATGGCCAGATACAAGGGTGGACGGATAAAGGGGAGTTGGATACTAGGGTGGCCGGGTAAAAGGGGAGTTGGATTCAAGGGTGGCCGCAAACAAGGGAGGTTGGATACAAAGGTGAACGGATACAAGGGTGGACGGATACAAGGGTGAACGGATACAAGGCTGGATACAAGGGTGGACGCATACAAGGGTGGCCGGATACAAGGGTAGCCGGATACAAGGGTGGCCGGGTAAAGGGGAGTTGGATACAAAGGTGAACGGATACAAGGGAGGGTGGATACAAGGATGGCCAGATACATGGGTGGACGGATAAAGAGTGGCCGCATACAAAGGTATCCGGATACAAAGATGAAGGAATACAAGGGGGCCGTCAGACGCACCCTCGAGGACTGGCGGATGTGGCCGTACTTGCTGACGT